GCGACTTAGACCGAGCATGTCTCCACAAGGCTATTAAGAGGGTAAAGAAATGGGCAGATCAAACCCGACGGGGGGCTCACTTCAGTGTAGGGGACATGGTGATGGTAAAGCTACACCTGGTTTTGAAGAACAAAGGCTTACACAAGGGCCTTGTTGGAAGGTACGAAAGGCCATATCGGGTGGTTAAGAAGATCAGTAAGGTGGTGCACAAGTTGGACATGCTGCTCAAGCTGAAAGTGCATCTGATATTCCACGTCAGTATGCTAAAGCCCTACCATGCAGATGAGGAGGACCCTAGCCGAGGGGTGAGCAACAAGGCTCCATTGGGCATCCGAGCAGCATACGACAAAGAGGTGGAAGAAGTGCTGACCGATAGAGTACTCAGACGGCAACACCACATGCCCCAACATCAGTATCTTGTGAAGCTAGTTAGGAGTCTGTGGAAGACTTATGGGAGTTCCAAGATCATATCGATGCCTTCCACACGGCAACGAGGATGCTACCAGCTTAGGTGGGGGAAGGTGTCACGGACCGCAGTTCAGCACATTAGAGGTGGTCCGAGGGTGTTCCGGAGTGCCGGCATATGGGGGAGTATTGCTGGGAGAGAACCCCCATTAGATAGTAGAGGACACGTGCAGGTTGCCTAGCAAGGGCGTACAACACAAGCCCTTGGGTGAGCCAGCCCACATAGCAGGGGCGCGAAACCCAGGCCCTGGGCGAGCCGGCTCGCACAGCGCCCAGACAGATTGCCTGCAGGCAACCTATGCTCACCAACCCACCAGTGCCCAAGCACACTACTTGTGGGTGACCCAAATGCACTAGGAGGCCCAAACATGACACCAGCCCTTGTAATGGCTTGAACTGCTGAAATTTTGGCTTCCCTTTTAAAAATATCTTGTCACCCTTTTGGAGAGAAATTTGGCTATAAATAGCCCTTGTAAATTGTGTACAACAGAACACTTAATAGACACTTGGATTTTTCACTTTCAAATACTCTCGAGCACTCTTCTCTCTTCCCTTTGCTTCAATTTTTTGCATATTTGCATGTTGGCCTGAGGCCTACTGTTTTGCGTGTGCGTTTACGTACTGACTGGAGACTGTGTTCCGCTGTGTGCGTGTACGTGTGCCAGCTGACTGGAAGCAGTGTGCATGCATGTGGGTGCGCTGGGTGCTTGCTGGGAGGGCGCTTAGTGCGTAGGTGAGTTTGTTTGCATTGCATACTACATGTTGTGTTGTTTCTTGGTCCTAGTGGCCTTGAAAATCAGCTAGTAGACATACCTTAGGCTGAATCGGGTTTCAGTACCAACCTAAGGATCGAATCCAAGGCTGCACGGTTGGGTGGTATGAAAAACCACCACGTGACAATCACGCACGGTGCCATGTTATCAAGATGCACTGACGTCAACGTTGATGTCATCATTTTAATGATAAAATTGAATGCCGTTAAAAAGAATGACTAAATTGAAGCAATTTCTACAATCAATGTACTAAATTGCTTCGATTTTAAGTACAAAAGACTAAATTGAACAAAATGCATAGGTATAAAATTTTGGTGGGTTTTTTAACCAATAAAGATTAGTAAGAACTACACTATCTTACCTCGCAGTGTTTTTTACTCAAATAATTGACACAGGAATATTGTTCTACTTCAAGGCAGATAATTAATTTTCAAAAATCATGCGACATTTTTAATTACTAATGTACCACAAGAAAAGAGACGAGTAGCATGATTGTTTGCAAGTTCAAAGATAAAAAATAAACCCAGGCACATATTTGGGAAATACTAAGCACGAAGCTATGCATTAAGTCCAGAGACAGAATTTAGAGGAAAGCTTCTAGTCTGGAAGCAGAAGCTGCTGTCATAAGGGCAATATCTAGAGTGTTATCAAGGAAGTGCTATGTAACATTCTAAGTTCATTAGTTCTATTCAATTGAATACTCAATGTCAACCAAAACTTAGGAAAAGATTTCGTTCACTTTGATACAAGTGGGATTCTGAACGTTTACAGGGGTTTGATTTTGTTTTGTTTTGTAATTTACTCCCAATATACACCTAATGCCTAACGGAATAATTAACCCAAAATTTATCTTTTGGAAAGTGATGCGATATGAAATTACATCAGGCTTGTGCTCCTGAGCCGAGGGTAATATCATTGTCAATCAAGCAGACTTGACAGACAGTATAACTGAGTTTGCAATCACATACCAAGTTCTAAACTCATCACACTCCCACTTTCAACTAAGGCTTCAAATCTACCTAGATGACAAAACAAACCCATCCTACTCAACTTAAAAATCTAATAACTAAACCAAAAACCCATCTAACAAATAAAATACAATGCGAAACTAAAATGCTGCAATGCCATTTTTGTACAGCTAACAAGAAGCAAAAATATTATGTTAAATTCATAATGGTTTTAGACTTCATGAAACATTCATGGCTTCAGCATGATAGTTTTCCAGCTCCTTGTCAAGATCATCTGCCGACTTCTCAATCGGCTTCTTTTTTCCACGGCCACGGCCTCTACCACGAGAACCACTACGGCCACTCCTCATACCCCCACGACGGCTGCAACAAGATCCAGCAATTAGTAAATTAACAGCAAAAACCCAAATGCAGCCATGCATCATTATTAAACATTGGCATCAAATATAAACTCTTTATTAAAAAGGTTTCAGTTCATACTCATCCACCACCGAAAATTCTTAAAAGAAAACAAGGTAAGGCATATACAAAGGATGGACATTTCAATCTACAAACTTCAACGTGACAAGCAGCCTTGCAGGTATTTTGATAACAAAGCTAAAAACTATGGCAAAATTTGCATACCTGTTCAAAACTTTAGGGGCTGTATAATTTAAGCACTCTATGATTTAATTTTTAAGTAATAGAATAGCCATCAATTTACTGTTTAAAATGACAGGCTCAAGCCAACACAAAAGACTGCTCAGATAAAAGGCATGATCTATAAGAGTAAGTCCCATGGACTTAGAAAAATCAAAAGCTCAAACCTTAAATGAAGGTTCCTGAAAGTCAACATAGCCAACAAGGTTCAACCACAAATATATATTTTCAAAGTTTCAAGGAACAAATGCAAAGTAAAAACACTCACATGAAAACTTTTAGGTAAAAAGTTCAGAAAAATCTTACAAGCAAAAATGAAATGGTAACTCATTTATCAAGTATTAGATTAATTTAAATTTAATACCAATTACAATATACACAAGCATGTTAAAAAACGGTTATGTAAACTATACAGACATCAGAATTAATGTTAACTTACTTAAGACCGCGATTAGTTCCAGCAGAGCTTCTTGACTGACCTGGTCCAGGCCTGCACAATTACTTATCAATGTAGTTCTTGTAGAAAGCAAAAAAAGAAATAAACTAGCCAGCAAAAAAAAAAAAGGAAGCAACCGACCAGTGACTGGTAAACATTATAAAGATATGTATGTAGGCTCTATAAACAACATAGATACACAGCAAAATGCTACAAATGATGCAATTTTGCCCACCATGACAAATACTTGAAAAAGAATAAAAATACGCAACAATAATCAGAAGAGTGAAAGAAAAAAATACTCACTTTCATATGTAAACCCAAGCAGTTTTTAACAACCATTACAATTGACGGACAGAAGGAAAATAAGTTTTAAATTCCATGGATTAATACTGTGTGTGCTATAAAAAGAAATAAATTACTGAAAATAAAACAAAAATCTTCCTACAAATACATCGAAAACTTAAAAACTATGTTACAGGACTTGGGTACAAGAATCTAATAAAGGGGGTGTCATGTGCCTAACTTGTCTTTTGCTAAAAATTTCAGACTTGCAGGTGCAGCATACAAGCGTCCAAAAATAGCATACAGACTTAGGGACCCTTCTAAAGATTGTTAAGGATTATAATAATACTGCTGAAAGTTAGAAAATCTACAAAAAGTTGATGCACAATTTTAGACTCAAGCAAAACCTTCGAAATGATAATAAGGGGCCCATATAAGAAACTACGAACCTATCTTGACCCAAAACCAACATTAAGCTCATACCTTTCCCTTTTTTAATTGGCTTATGGTGACAGAATTACAATGCGATACAGGCTAGAATCATATATTAATTTGGAATGGAACCAAAAACCTGACTAAATACCACAAGCCCTACCATATGTACCGGTCCTTGTACCCAGAATCTTCTTATCTATTAATCTTCCTTCTCTGCAAAAATTAATTTCCTTTTATTCTTTTCCTTTACAATTTCCTGATCCTCAATCCCATATTCCTACAATCATTCCTCTTATGCCTCCTTTCTCACTCTCTTTTGCAGCGGTTTCATGCTTAATTTGTGGATTTGGCTGTTTTTTCTTTTTTTTTCCTTATCTGCTGGTTTTCCACATCCAACAGCCTCCCAATGAAGTCACTGACATTCACTTTCTTGATTTAGTGATTGATTTGGCTTGTGTCAAAAGCCAAGTCCAGATGTCTGTATCAAATGCATATTCCTCTGTATGCCTGAAGTGTCCTGTTGACACTAATATGGTGACCTAAATGATGAGTCCATGTAACAGAGCTTAGAAACTAGGAAATGCATTAACAGTGAGAAACATATCATCTTAACAGTGGGTTCAGGCTTTTGCTTCAACAAAGATCACAGCTTGAAAAGAGTAACGAATATTTGACTAGAAATGAATTTGAAAGTTGATGTGAAAAACTTATCAGTAAAATAAAACATATAAAGAAATTAGGAAGAATATGGAATCACATACGTCAAAACAACAGCCCTCTTCCTCCTTCCATTCATTCCGGTTACATTAACACGAGCAGAAATTGGCACTTCCGCATTGGCACCAACAATTTCAATTTTCATGGGCTTTCCATCCAACAGGACATTGTTATACCGCTTAAGAGCAGCAAATGCATCACTCCTTCTGAGATAAACAACTTCAGCTGAACCCTGAAACCAAAAATAAAACAACATCCAGGTAACAAAGATTTGATCCAAAATGAGAACAACTATGTAAAATATATGGCAAGTCATATGAATGAGAAGATATCTTAGTCCATAGAAAATTAGACTACAAAGACAAAGGACTAATCAGGATAAACAAGCAATGCAACAATACAAGCATCAAGCTTTGAGCACAACTTAAAACATCCAGACATGCAAAAGGAGCAAGAAAGGTAGGATGCGGTATAGTCACCTCACACTCAATTCGAACCAGAATTACCCAACAAAAAGTTTTCCAATAGCATAACCTTGATCATGAACTGAAACTTTGTTTATTTCAACAAAAACCTCACATGCATCTAAGCATAAAAGCTAATACCCTTCAATTTTTCATCAACACAAAGTTGCCACAAGACATGCCAGGCTCCCTAGAGAGCTTATTCTCAATGATTTTCTTCAATTTCTACATGTAGGCCAAAAATATAGCAGCATGACTCAGTCAACATGAAATATAGCCTGCAAATCTAAATACATTCGGAAGAAAAGCAATCCTAGAGTCATCATGTTTTCAATAGGTAGTTGCTACAAGCTCTTGTTTCAACCCAAACTAAAGCAATTATTTACTAATTAATCTACAAAATTCAAGCAGTTGAAACATCCCAATGTTTTGTCAAAGATTTCTATCACCGCACTTAAGATATATCTATGTCCTTTCAATATTGCAAGATGCCAAATCCTATTAAGCCAGATTCAAGGGCATAACAACCAGCATTGAAACAGAATATCAGAAGCAATTAACACAAAGCACAAAACTTACACTTGGCCGACCATTTTTATCGTAATGAACTGCATATCTTTTCAGCTCCCCTATCTCAGAGAAAAGTTCCTGAGTTGTACACAAAATTTCAGGATATTTCTCCAGAAAACTAACACAAACTTCTTTAGCCTTAAAGTCCTACACAAAGGTATCACTTTACCCTGATATCTTCATTTGTGACTCCAAGGTCCAAGTTGGATACATATAACTTGGTGCCAACTTCTACTCCTGATATCCCTGCAGCTCTAAGGCTGTCTTCAAACAAATCATGCTGCCATGGTGTGCTCCTGGTCCTGTGGGAAGACTAATGAAAGCAAATACAACGCGTCAGCTTATGACTTGATAGCAAGATCACCAGCCTTCAATATGAATCAAGATCAGCTATATTCCCACAGAACATTAAAAGAAAGGTGCTAGCAGTAGAATCCAGTTTAGTAAAGTGCCGAAGCAATCCAGGAAAAAATCAGCAGGTGCAGCTACTGAACACATATGGGAGTTAAGGATCCGACCCACTTCATTTACAAACGTGTTATAGTATGGACGAGTACTTCAGTTCTGAAGATACGAGAAGTAAGCTCCTTTGCAAAAATTCCATGAATAGAACAGAAACTGAAATCTTGCACCAAAGAAATTCCAAGAATAGCAATAGGATCCACAGATCCATCATAAGTCCCGCTAAGCAGCCAGGCATCAAACACTAACATAATTAGAAATGTATGATACGGTTTAGAAAATGGTAGAGCCATTAAATCTTAAAGGAACCACATGCTACTCATCTGGGCTCCATTTCAAAAAGTTAATAAAGCAGGAACGCATAAAATGTTAGGACGCAGCATTGCATCTTTAAATTGCACAATTGCGGCAGCTAAACCTCTGGGAAATATCATGAGGAGTGCAGCAAAATCCCCAGCGTAGTTGAGTTTGTAAAGAAAGATCGGAGATGGTCCTCAATTTAGGTTGTTAAGCATATGAGCAAAACATAGGACAAGCGCAGGTTTGAGCTTGCCTTGGCAATAGAGTGTTGCGATGGGCGGGCATTGACAGCAAGGGGACCTCGACGAGTAGCAAGGGTGGTTGCTGTCATCCTTCCACCACCAAAAAAGCCTCTGCCGCGGCGCGGCCTACCCCGGCCTCTGCCTCTCTCACTCTTATTTCTCTTCACCATATCATCCAGGGTCATATCCAGGGAGGTAGCCATTACGTAAGCTATTAAAACAAAATTGATAACAGCCATTAGAAGCAGTGTGGGTATAGTAATTGTTGAGTGACAGAGAGAGAAAACGCAAGGCAAGGGATAATATTAAGTATTTTACTTAAGTTGAATTTGTTGATTTTTGAGAGACAAATAATTTAGATCCAATCGCAAATTATGCATCTACGCCAGGTGTTGCTCCTAACCCCCGGCCAAAACAGAATCCCTAACCCTAAAATCGCAGGGATATCAAAGAGAAGGAAGAGAAAAATACCTGGAAAATAGACGAGGAGAAGACTCAGCTAATTAAATTAAAGGATAAAAACAGAGTCCGATGACAATCTGTTCATTCGTTACGCGCCTCCAAGGGTTTCACAGGATTTTGCGACTCTAGTCTTTTCCAGCGAGACTGTCCCTTTTAAACTTCACTCATATATATTATATAAATAGTTCTAGGCGGTGCCCACTTAAAAAAAGCCAAAAAGAAAAAATCTAGAATGTGGCCCCCGCCATACGAGAGAAATTTACTTTACTGATCTTAATCTTCACTATAATGAATCCCAGCCGTATATCCCTTCGACATCGAACATCTGGCTGTGGTCTTTTGAGAATTTTATGAGAATAAATTAGGGTTTGCAGGCAAAAGATGTTTGATTTGGTAATTTTCGGATCGTACGGATTGTTTTCGGTATTGTGCTTGAGATGAAGGGCTTTTTTCGGGTTTTTAGGTTTTAAATGAAGGGCTTATTTGGGTTTTAGTCTTGATGGGTCGCTTAGGTTCTTAGTTCTCTTCTTTTCTGGTTAGTTCATTGGGTTGTGCCACCTAGGGCTTTTAGTTCTCTTTTCTTCTTTTAGTTATTTTAGTACAAGTTCTTTTTATAAATGGAGCTAATGCATAAGACATTTTTGAAAATAAATTTTTTTTATAATTTTAATTATTTTTAGTCAAAAGAATTAAAATTTAAAAAAATTAACCTATTTATTTGGCTTCATGTTTCAATCCTAAACTTATAAACGGTCAAGTATATTTAGAAGGTGTGTAACTCTTTAGTTCTCATCGACAGACTGTATATTTCCAAATAAAAAATTTTGTCAAAAACATTCCTCGTCAGTTCAACTTTCAAGCATTTTTTGTAATGGTACAAGTATTTTGGAGGAGTAATTATTTGCATAAATCTGCTTCATTACTCTGAGTGATATTATGTACATGTTAATGGGATTGCATAAGCTAAACTACACGTAAGAGGATCGAAGTTAAATTATGATAAAATGAATCACATAATATAAATTTGGATTTGAAACATTGTAAATATATAAACATCATAAAAATCATTTCACTTACTATTATTTGATTTTAAAATAAATACTCGTCATAGACTTTGAAATTGAAAAACCCTTTTTATATTAACTGCGTACTCATCATATATTCCAAAATTTCTCAATGTAAGAATCATTTTAATTGATTATAACCACATCATACTGTCACGGGGCGACACTTAAGACCACCTTCCGTGCGGCCTTGGGCTCAACCCTTATCTCGGCACTTAGAACCCAAGTCAGCCTTAGTGCTTCAGCACTCGCCCAACAAGCACTCAACACCCACTCAATGGCTTTAAGCCGGCAAGCAAGCTTGCATAAACCAGAAAAGAAAAATGGGAAGAGAATGCTAGAGAGGAAAACTAAGCTTGTATTGAATGAATT